GGGGTTGGGGGGTGGGAGTAGGCTACTGGCATCTAGTGGGTAAAGCCCAGGAATGCTGCTAAACATCATACAATAAAAAATTATCTCTCCAAAATGTCAATATTGCTGAGGGTGAGAAACTCTGCTATAGGGTAAGAAAAAAGAGCATGGCTGCTTGAAGTTTTCAAAAGTACCCTTTTGGACTGCTGTAAAATGCTGTTGATCAACATGAGGACTATAATACACAAGAGAAAGAAATAAAAAACCCACAAGTTGTCTTATAAAACTCTGAACAACTTTTTTTTTTTCAGTACATGCTTACAAGTAAATAAGATGAAGCAAAAAGGTCTCAGTGTCATAGAAAAACTAACAGAAAGCAATGTATAAGCCATGCTAAAATCCTATAGTGACTTTAAAAAAAAATCCTATGCAATGTTGTCAAAATATAGTTTTCTAAAGTATCTTCTGAATAAATACTAACATGATAGAATTTATTCCCAAAACAAAGATTAGACAGGGATTTTTTTTTTTTTTTTTTTGCCCTTTAATTTTATTGCTGGTGGAGCAGCATAAAGATAATGAAAACATACTGTAAAACTTCTGGAGAGAATTATGAAAGAAAAGAATCAGATTTACATAGTTAAATGTATATATCAATTCTTTCTGAATGGGTTCATAATAAAAAAATGTTTTTTAAACCAAAGAGTTAGTATACAGGAAGACACTGTTCTCTGAAATGCTAACAAGGAAGAAGGTTCACATTAAAACATGTTTATTTAGATATCATGCTCTCCAAAATGAACACTGTTAATATGCTTCTGGTTCCAATTTCTCTACTCAGTGACTTAGTGCTACTGCCGCTTTTAAAACTTTTGTTTTAATTTGACGTGGTTTTACTGGGCCATTAAATAAAAATATCATGTTTTTTCACTTGTTGAGTACTAAAATATTAAAGTCATAGCAACACAGTGCACATTTTAAACATTTTTGCATCGTTCCTCTTCAGCTTTTAGCGTGCTAGTTTTGCTAACAAAAGTATAATGTCTCAAAGTAAAGCTAGAAACTGGGTGCAGATCAACTATTTTCACATAACAAAGCAACAACTCTTACCTGTGGCTAAAGATGAGCTCAAAATGTGCCCGTAATACCATTTGTTATGGCTGTGATCCTAGTCTCATACAATTTATTTAGGCACACAATTGCGAACTCCCCCACAAATCTTCCTAGTGGTACAACACAGAGGAGGAGGGGAGAAACAGAGTCATAATGCATGTAAACAAGACTCAGCATCTGAGGGCTTCCCTTTAGGGCCTGTTCTGATTGGCAGATGTGCTATGACCAGTCTGCACAGCTGGAATGCAGCCATGCAGGAAGAGAATGGCTCATAGCACTCCTTCATTCTCAGTTAAAAACGGAAATTTTATAGTCATTTTTAACTTTCTGTTCTAAAAAAATGCAAATGCCTCCCCACAGTACTTCTCTGTCAAGCTCGTAATTAAAATCCAAGAAAATAAGTTGACGATCTGTTGAAGGACATTTTAAACATAAATGTGCACATACAGTGTATATCACATGTTACTCCCAAGTTCCATGTATTTGATAATTTGAAGGTACAGGTCAATTTTCCATTAAATATCCCCCATCCCTCACCTCCTGACAATAGAAAACAAATTAAACACAGGTTCTTGGTGTGATCTTTTTTCTCAAAGTATACAAATAATTTGATTTCACATTTTGCCCTTAGCCATCTTTTAGCTTGAAAAATATGTAGTGTATGTTTTGTATTTGTGTGTCTACACGTTTTTATACACAATTTTAAGCAAAGTAATTTCCATGACAGTCAAGAAAATTGTGCAACTGTCAAGGAATACATTAGTGGTAATGCTAAATTTCTGGCAAAATAATAAGTGGTTATTATGGTGGTCCAAAAGCCAAAACTGAACAAAACAAAGCACTAAGGGCAGATTCAAGATCTGGATCTTGCCAATAGTAATAAAATATTTGGATGAAATCTCCTTAAGAAAAATAAGAACAAGTCTATAGCTAACATGGAAATTTATCTTGACTGTATACAGCACTATAAGGATATGGATTTTATTTCAAATCAAATACTCTTTGCTACATCCCCTCAAATTTTTTTCAGTTTCTAATTTTTAAATAATTAGACGAGAATATACTTGCAAAGGCTTCTTGAACTTTTACATACTTAGAAATCATACAAAGAAATTACTAGGCCAAAGTCTTACCATTTCTACCAAAAACAAATAAAAAAAGATTTTAAAAATAAGAAGGCCTTCATTCTAAAATTTAGTTGTCAAATGCTGCACATTTACTGTAGGTAATGTACTAACTCCAGGGGCCCACCAAACTGAGCATAATGATTTAGGTCGCTCAAAAACCAGCACTACACTCTCAATGTGAAGGTCAGCATGGCTGGATGGCTATGTAAAAGTCTGCTGGTTTTGCAGGTATATGTCACACACACACCATGAGAGCACTTGCATTCCCTATCCCTGCTCATCCATGCCTCCTGGTTAATAAAGCTAATTGAAGAAATGGAAGAATATCTTGCAAGCAGAGCAAAGGCAGAAAATAAGGCAGAACAGGCACAAATGGTGTTGTTAATGGCTGTATGTGTATAAACGTCGTGGGGAGCTGTAAAAAAGGCAGTGGGGGAACCCATGGCACATCAAGAGGACTGAGAATCACAAGAGTGGTAGGAAGCTATATTGGGTCAGTGACTCTGTGAGAACTCCAGATTACCCAGATTTTCATGCCATGACAATTTCTGGTTCTAAGCAATCTGGACATGCATAATTCTGATGTTTATGTGTGTAGGTGGTATACCACTTATATAGAAATGGGCCCCTATTCTGTCACGGACAGCTTTCTGGGACTGGCTGGATAGAGTCTACTGATGTATAACCATTCAGGGTGATTCTGAATCTAATAATATGACAAACACTTTGAAATAAAGATGACAAAAATGCAAATGTCATCTTTTGCTTTGATTAAAACTAAGAAGAGTTGCCAACTCAGAACTTATTAGAATCTATTGTCAGACATGGAAACTTTAAGGATTTGACTTTGATCACTTCACTGAAGAGAAAATCAAACCCCACTGGGTAGGAACTTACACTGCTAACTCAAGTTCGAAATGAAAGGCCCTAAATCGTTCTTTGAAATTAGCAGGAAGATTCAGTCTACGTGAATGAATGAAGGAATGAATATACACAGACACACTCGCAAGCGAGTAGGAAGTGGTATAAAGGAACGTCTTATACCTCATATTGGAGGACTTTCTTTAGAATGAGTATAGTGAAGGGATTCTGTTTATCATACTCCCAAGCATTACTTTCAAATTCCAGCTTGGGCATAAATATAGTATGTTGTTATTTTTTTTAATGGATCAATTCTACATGAATGTTTTAGTATTAACTAAAGGATCCACACATTCTGAAAATTCTTTACAACAATATCATTACCTCTTTATTTATGAAAAGCAGAATAAATAAAACAATGAATTCATCCAACAGAAGACAGAAGAGATTCAGGGTTCATGAATCTTTGATGACTCGCTAAAACAAACAAACAAACAAAAAAACTCACTGATACAAACAGTATGATGGTTATTAGAGAGAAGGGGACATGGAGGAAAGATGAAGAGGGTAAAAGGGGTCAAACGTATGGTGACAGAAGACTGAACTTTGGGTGATAAGCACACAATGCAATATAGAGATGATGTATTATAATATTGTATACTTGAAACTTAATATAATACTACTAACCAATATTGCCCCAATAATTTTATTTTTAAAAGATAACAAAACTGGTTCCGTTCAAATGGAACATGGATGGAAGTTTACATATCTGAGATCAGAGTTTCAGAGGTTTTTCTAAAATCTTTAAATGGTTCTTATATTTGGGCAGAGAAAATTGTAAATCTATGTCTACTTGAAAAGAAGCCAGTGTTCATACTATAATACTACTGACTTTTAAGACTACCGCGGTGAGACTAGTATATTGCTCTTTTAAATGGCAGGTTTTCAATAAATATATATTTGTTGCTCTTGAACTTAAGAAAGTTACTATTTCTTGGTTTAAAACATCAATAGAATATTACTCGGCCATTAAAAAAAATGAAATCCTACCATTTGCAATGACATGGATGGACCTAGAAGTTATTATGCTGAATGAAATAAGACAGAGAAAGATAAATACCATATGATTTCACTTATATGCAGAATCTAAAGAACAAAAAGAACAAACTAATCAAAAACAGACTCTCAAATATAGTGGACAATTTGGTGATGGACAGAGGTGAGGTGGAGTTGGGGGGCTGGGAGAATGGGGTGAAGGGTTATAAGAAGTACAAATCAGTAGTCGATGTATGGGCACGGGGACGGGGAGCACGGCAGAGGGAATGTAGTTAGCATTAATATATTGGCTAGGAGGAAAACCAGAGGAGAGAAGGAGCAATTAGGGGGATAATTTTATAAACTATATAAATGTCTAACCAATCTACTATATTCTCGGAACTAATTAAAATAAATTAATTTAAAAAAATAAATTAAAGACAATCTCTTTGAGTTATCATGGTAGGAAAGAAATGAGGCACATTAAAGAAAAGTTTATATGACCTCTGCCCACACTTCCGTGGGTGAGCGGAAAAGACT